AATTTTGCTGACTGACAGATTTCTCCTTGTCATCTTTCCTAGTTTTTGCTATTTGTAACTTGCAAATATGCTTGTGTGGCTGTAAAATTTTATGAGCAACTAGTTAGAAAGGTAACTATTAAGGTGCTTCTATTGTTAAAACTGCAAACGGATAAATTACTTTCATGCTATCAAACCACTAGATTGAGAATGACTCAGATTAAAATATAGTTTATGAGAACATTTGAAGCCAACAAGCACATGCAGTGTACTGAATTAGAAACTGCACCATCTGTGTTTCCACAAACCTATCAAAGCACACAGCAGCTTGAGAACCACTGGTCTGAGTATAACTCATGAAAAGCCTTGGCAATGGTGGGGGACAAAAACCCCAATTTAGACATTGTAATACTGTGTCTGTAATATGTAATAAATTTGACATTATTTGTGGTAGCTAGATAATTTTACAAAGCAAATTTAGTACTTTTTCAACATTGAGGTAAGAGTCACATAAAATGAACTATTTTTAAATTCAGTGGTATTCAGTATGTTCACTACATGGTGTTAGCACCACCTCTTATTCTAAAATTTTCTCATCACCTCCAAAGGAAACCCTGTATCTATTAGTAGTCCTTCCCATCCTTTACTCTGAACTCCTGACAATCTGCTTTCTGTCCTTATGAATTTACCTACTGTGTACATTTCACATACCGTATATACTCGTGTATAAGCCAAGTTTATCAGCACATTTTTAAGGCAGTTTTTGTGGTAAAATTAAGTGCCTCGGCTGATATTCCGGTCAGCTTATCCTTGAGTATATATGGTAAATGGAAACATATGTGATTTTGGTGTCTGGCTTCTTTATGTAGTATGTTTAAGGCTCATCCATGTTGAGTTCATCTACTGGCATTTTTTTCTGATGTCATAGAATGAAATATATGAGATGAAATAGTATTATTTATCAAATAGCATTTCTTAAAATGAAAATGTATTAGGAGGTTCTGGATAGAGTAGAAGATACATGTGGAACAGAATTCAAAGTCTTACAAGAGACCAGTGCCTGATTATCCAACACAGGCTGAGTTCCGTTCCTGACCTGAAGGGTGACTGAGAGGCACACTCTTCTGAGTCCCACTAGTTTTTATTTTTATTCAGGCACTGACATGGAAGCGATGGTAAATACTATTATGTGTATAGCCCTACAAGCGCTGTCACAACAAACAATGTACAAGTGGCTCCACAGGCAGTGAAGTAAGCTAGCCAGAAAGAGGAGGGCATATGGGAGCACACCCATGCATATACTTGGAATTGGCAGCAAATATTCCTACACAAAAGGGGGCTTCAAATAGTTACTGAAAAAACAAACAAACAAAAACAGAATTCAAAACTAATAAAATTCCCATAAATTTTTTGAAGTCTTCCTGTATATTTGGACAAGCTGCAGGTAGATGTACCCGTAAATATAAAAGAGCACATAGGGTGCATAGTCATAAAAGCCTCTTAGCCATAGCCAGACTTCTCCCAACAATGTTTTGCCTTGAAGTCTAGGGGCCGTAGACTTGGGGACATCTAGGCCAACTGGCAGAGCACAGGCCACAGAGGCAAATGTTCTGCTTCCTTTGATGAGGTAGTGACTGAGATCTTCAAAGCATGCAACCTATTGGTCTCTTTCCATTTGGGGGCAAAGAGGAGTGAAGAAAACCGAAGACTCAGGAAACAATTAGAAGAAAGGACAATGAACCACAGCCTCACTAGACGGAGACCAGAAGAACCAGACAGTGCTCAGCCATCAGCACTAAGCTCTCTGACCAGGAGGCACAATTGCAGGCGCCAGATTGAGTACTGAAATTTACAACAAAATCCAGATTGATAAAAAATGACCAGATTTCTTGGCCTGAAAGAGATTGTGGCCCTGAGATACCTTTCTAACTTAAAACTGGAGCTACTCCTGGGTGTCATCTGTCACCCACGTTCAAGTCAGGCTTAAGAAGTGAACAATAACCCCCAAGAGGAAGGTGCTCCTCAGAACCCACATAAGATCCAGAGGGCAGCATTTGCACAGAGGTAGGAAGGTAAAGAGAGGACAGGTGAGCCCCAAGTGAAAATAGGGAGAATGTTGCCACAATCAATGTTGTTCAACTCTGTGTATAAATTGCTGAATCGGAAACTAAGCAGCTTTATAACTTTACCCTAACCCATAAAAGGAAAAAAAAAAAGGCAAAACATCTTATATTCAAAGAACTCTGACTTTAAAATGTGCTGAAAATACACATGACTTTGAGCTTGTCCAATTCAGTCCTTTGACAGCCGAGTGTAATTTATATAATGCGAGGGCAAAAGTCGCACATAACTTATTTTTGAATGGACAAGTGGCTACCATTTTGCAGCAGTCTCACCAGAAAGAGAAAGAGGAGCGCAATGAGATATAGAGAGACTGTATGATCAGATAGGCAAAGGATAGAGCCTGCGTTTATGTTGATTCAAGCGGATGGTAGAGTCCGATAGATGGTTATAAGAGGCCCAATATAAAGGAAGAACTTCCTAGCAATGAAGAATACTAAGAAATGTAGCAGACCGCCGCTTCAGTTGTGAGTGCCTGTCTGCCAGCAAGCGGCCTGAGCCCGAATGCAAGAACGGCAGGCAGAGATGTGAAGGTGCCCCATTGGAATACTCTGGCGGCCCTGCGTTTAACAGAGCGGGTGGGAAGGACTTGAGAATTCCTCTCGTCAGGATTGAGTAAAAGTGTATTCCAAACAAACACACCCGAAAATCACGACACTTTCCTCAGCAGTCACACTGCATGCCAAACACACAAGCTGGCGCCAATGCTGTGTTGTCAGAATAGTTACTGACGCTCACAAATAAGGCCCCCAGCCCCCACTGGGCGGGCAGGAGGCGAGGTTAACTCTGAGGAGAGAGAAGATGCAGAAGACGACTTGGGAGTCTGCTTCCTGGAGACGTTTCTTGCATGTGGGGGACAGATGACCAAGGACAGGACCTGCCCTTTTTGTTGTTGCTTCATTTTTAAGTTTTTAAGAAAATTTGTATCTATTTTGTGAGTCTATTAGAAGGACCTACCAGAAAGAGTTTCTGAGAAGTTGTGAAGAACTGACAGCAGAGCTCTAGCTTCAAACTCTCTAAATCTCGGGAACGGAAGGATAGGGACACAAAGCCAGGGAGAAGCCAGGTTTTCATCACCAGCTGCTGAGAAGCCACACACTCTCCGGTAGTGAGGTCGCACAATATATGGTGGTGTTTGCTTTGTGCCGTCACTACTCATTCGGTCTCCTTGGTCCGGATTGCCTGCCTGACTTTTCTGTTGTGCCCTACAGGAAGTTGACACTGGGGGAAATAGCGGGAGGTCAGTAATGGGCCTTTCCAGCACCTGCGAAGATAATTGGAGTCATCTTGGGATCCAAGGAGGAAGTAACAATATAATTGTAATAATAAGGTTATTTATCTTTTGTAAAGACCTGATGTGTCGTTTACTTGACTATTGATGCTAGGTGCTGCTCAATTAGCTTGCCTGCATAGCGAGCCTCTGGACAATAGAACGTCACACTGCAGGTCCTGCACCTGTGTCAGTCTGTTTCCTAGAGGGTTGTCGTCTTTTCCCCTAACCTTCTAGTTGACCTAGCCTGATGCCCTTTCCCGGGGACTGGTGGGAGATGAAGTCTCGCTGCCCTTGCTTGTGTGGCACGCCCAGGCGCTTCTTCCCAGTCACGCAAGTCCTAGGCATCCTTTCTTCTCTACTCCTGGGAGGTGATGGAGAATAAATACCATGGCATGGCTCGGGTGCACCTTTGTACTCAGACTGGGATCTTTGCTCATTAACACTTGAAAGAGGTTTGCTGCAGTAGCCTTGCCCAAGGTAATGTCATTTGATTTACTGATGGCTACTTCTGTGAGCATTGATTGCAAATCCAAGTAAAATGAAATCCTTGAGAACTTTGATACTTTCTCGTACAACTGTAGGCCCATGTTAGCTATAGGAAGGCCTGATTGTGAAGCAGGATTAGCATACTTAGACACTGCTCCCTCCTCCTCTACTCCTGGTGTATGGTTATCAATGAATGTTAACTTAGTCTAGCTCACCCCTTACCTTTTTATAGCTTGGTAATTAGGTAAAGGTTTATATTTTTATAATTTATAATTCTAACTCGGTAAATGTTTATATTTAGATCATAGTTTTATATTCATGCACCCACATTACATTTATACATATCGACACGTTCTAATTCAATCTACCCATTGCAATCCCCCCCCTTTTATTCCATTTTCTCCCTGTGTCTTTTACTTCCATTCCTCCCTCTTTCCTAACCCTCTGAGCCTTGGCCTGTGGCATATACTACCCTTCTGATCTCAAATGGTTGCTTATTCTAACATGGAGACAAGTTCAGATCCAGACCTGAATAGCAAGGGCCATGGTCTTTGGGTTCCTATGTCTCCATCCAGTAAGCCTGGTATCCTTTATAGTTTGCAGTTCTGCCAGTAACCTTTATAATGGGCTGAGTGAAGTTCTGTCAACTTCCTATTCCTTCTTGAATATGTTACTATCAGGAAGCGTATTCATCTTTTGAGTCACTCCTCTTGTTTAACTCCCAAAGTCAGATAAAGACACCCTCTATGATTGCACAGTGTGTTACCTACCTCTTAGATTAGAGCATCTTCACATCAGCCCACCTCTTCCTGGGAGAACCCTTCCGAGAGTAGAGTAAACTTAAATGGTCCAACCCATCGCACCATGCCAAGGTCTGTTTTTACGTTTTGCTGGTCAGCATCAGGTCTGCCAAGGGAACCTTTATTCCTGAATTCTAACACTGACACGGCGATCCTCGGCACAGACCTATGCAAGGAAGCGCTCTCCCTCCCATGTTGCTTTACCTGCGAAGAAACTATTCTTGTTGGTATTTTTATTCCTCACATATCAAATCATGCATTTAAAATCGGTTACCCTGTTTTAAGATTTATTTATTTGATCAGCCATCTTACAATTATTTGACTTTTCTTTTTACCCCCAGAGAAAAATTGACCATTGGATGCCACCAGCTGATTGAGCTGGAATATACCATGCATCAGTGCCATGCATCGGTCTACATGAAGGCCCAAAACCAGGGATGGTGTGAAGAGAGATCTGCTCAACTGTAGGACCTACATGCTCATCGTAATTTAAAAGGAACTGAATTTGTCTTGAAAAATAACACTAGCCAAATCCAAGTGAATGGTGTCCAAAAATGTATCTTTGGTACAAAAACGTGATAGCCTCCTGGGAGATTTTAGGGGGGCGGGAAGGAAGCATAGAAAACAAAAAAGCCTTCTACATCAATTGTGGGATCAATTGTAGCTCTAACTCTTCGGAGTTGACAATACCTCCCTACCTCTATTCTTTGTACTGAGCTGGCGTCCTTGAAGGAAAGCAGAGCCAGCTTTCTTGACGTGGGGCAGAAGCCAGTCAGTCCTGCATCTGACGACGACCCGGGCACAGCGTTAGTATCTCTCTCAACCCTAAATGTGGGCACATGACCAGAGATAGCCCCCAAACTCAAGGGATTAGGATATGACTATGTTTGCCTAGTTCCACAACTATAATCTTACCGTGAGCTGGTTTGTTGTTTTGGGGGGGAGGCAAATTGTTTTCCATATAACCTGGTGGAAACTATGTGCCCCTAAAGGCCTGCTCCACCTACCACCAAGGTATTGGAAAGTCGACTTGATTTCACCTGTAGTTCGTTACAGCCTCCCGTTCTCTGGGCATGTTATTATGCAGGGCATTTCTAACTGGGAGATAAGGTTGAAGACCCGGAGGTCGAGTTTCCCTATAAAATGTGAAGCCACATGTATTTGTGGGATTAGGCAGTAGTGACTGATGTCTGTTTGCCCCTGATGAAAACCAAGTGCTTGATTGACTTACTGAGTTACAGTAGAAGCCATTAGTATATTATGTTTTTGTTACTACATTAGATTAAACCCAACTGGTGTTTAGTATATTGTTTTTGTTAACAATTTAGATTAAATCCAAGTTGGCATTCTCTTGTAAACATTTGTTCATTTATATATTTTTTAAAAAGTAATAAATAACTTATTTTCAGTAAGCTTTTTAAATTTTAATTTCAAATTATGCTTTTGAAATGAACAAAGTTAGAATATACAAGTGACCCTTTCTGGTACATGTGACCCTGTGGTTAGAACGCACAGTGAGCTCTGTGCAGGACCCTCACGTGGACTCAAGTCCAAGGAGAGGAGCTTCTGAGTGAAAGACGAAACTGGAAGAGGAACCCTTCATGCTCTCTGCCCGTGGCCTTTTCTTCCCCGAGGAGCCACCAAAGCACCCACTACCACCCCCAGAGAACCCGCATCCCACAGCGGCTTGGGCTGTTGGGTTTGTTTTGATTTTCCTGTGCTCTGCTTTGTTACCTCCTTCCCACACCCCAACCCTTACTTTATGCTCTCTCATTTGTTTCGTTCCGTCAACTGGGTTGTTACACATATTCATGTAAGCACATGGGTTTTCATTTTCACTCAGTATGTCTTGCTTTGTGTATTTTATTTCAGCCATTCTTTTATGTGTACCCGAACCCCACTGGCATGAAGTCGCTGTTTCACAGCAAGCTTGTACAGGGTTCTGAGATGAAATGTTTACAGGGGCGGATGACCAGCCTCTTCTCCCGCAGAGCAGCTGGTAGGCTTGAACTGCCAGCTTGTGGCTAAGCAGCCAACGCCTACCACAGCGCCAGCATGCTTTCCATTTTCTTGTATTACTTAGATATGGAGGTGTTCTCTAGCTTTTTTGGTCGTCTCTTTCACTTTGATTTAAAGAGAATGTTCAAAAACATTCTTCTAAGATTAGTGGTTCTCAACCTTCCTAATTTTGCAACCCTTTAATACAGTTCCTCTTGTTGTGGTGACCCCCCCAGCCATAAAATTACTTTCGTTGCTACTTCATCACTGTCATTTTGCTGCTGCTATCAGTCGGGCGACCAACCCCGGGTTGAGAAAAGCTGTCTTAGCCGTTTTAGTCTTTGTCCTGTTCATTCGCCATGTCAGATGTTCGTTTCCCTCTCTTCCTATGCTTGATTTTGAAAACTGTACTGTTTTGCTGTTTTCCATCATTTTAGTCTTTTAATACTCTTCCTCATGCCATCTTTTCTGACCTTACGTTGTAAACCCTGTTTGTTGTCATCGTTTTAGGGCTGGATGGTTCCTTTGCCTCTTACCCTTTTCTAGCTTCTCCCACTGGACCGAAGTTTTCCGAAGGAGCATAAACTTCAGTTGGCAAAACTATTGCTTAGAAGGGAAAATGATCAAATCCTTCAGTGAGGAACTTTAAGGTTTTAAAATCTTCATTCTTTATATATAGCTATTTGGGGCCAGAACTATCATAAGCTTGCTATGAACCAGAGATTAATGGAAACAGCCACAGGAGTTGGATAACTCTATAATACCCTTAGCCTTACCCCGAGAGGGGCTGACAGTTAACCCCACGAGAAGCACCCAGGGGGCCTTATTCCAGCAGTGATCCACAGTTAAGTATTTGGCACCAATTTACACAAGCCTTTTCCAACTTTTACAAAAGATTGCCCTAACTTTACAGGTAGGTTCATGTCACTACACGGTGAGCCTACACTTGCCACATGTCAGGACACAAACCCGAAGATGTGTGTTCCTGATCTCTTGATCATCTTGGAAGATTGAATGAAGTAGACTGAAGATTTTCACATCTTGGTCAGCAGCTGCCTAGGTCATGGTTATAGTCCTTGGAGTAACTCTCTTAGCTTCCTGTCGATGGGAGCAGTGTTTTTACCTCTTAAGAGGGCATTTACCACGAATTAGCCAAATACAACTGGCTCTCTTAGGTAGTGCCTCCAGCCCTTTAGAGTTGGGATAGGATTTACAGGCCCACCCTCTCCATCCCCAGTTGGCTGCCTTTCTATTTTTGCAAGTAAAAACCATTGCAGTGCACACCACTAAGCCCCATAGAGCTAAAAAGTAGCATATACCTAATGGTTACAATCAGTGTATGCATCTGACAAAGTGACGTCTCACAGAAGCATCGACATGCTCTACTTTTGCCACACGCTTGATTTGACACAAGTAGGTTTTGCTGTGTGAAAATCTATTCATTAAGGTCATGATGGCTGCATGACTAAATGTCCTTTCTGGATCATGCCCACAGTAGACTCTTCTCTAGGAGCCTAGGAAAGAGGCTGCCCAATCTGGCTTCCTGAAGGTTGGGAGCATTCATTTTTCCAAAGCGAATGGAATCCTTTCTAAGTTTGACCCAGGCCTGCAAACTGGTGTGACCTATCTCAAAGTTTAAAAGTCTCAGAGCATCTACCTTACGAATAGAAAAATTCCATTACCTTTTCCAATTTGTGGAATTTGTATGGCCGCCATATTTAAATGCATTTACGTTTGTGATCTTATATATCCATGGCAGAACCAATCCTTTAAGGGGATTTGAATAGGATTGAGTCTGACACTTTATTTAAATGGGAAATTTCTAAGCAAATTGTAGCTACTGAGTGCTAGCTTATGAAGTAAATCTGGGGATTTTTCTTCTCGCCATTCTGGGAGACAACTGTAAAATTCTACCATGCTAACTCCCTGTCCTTCCCAAAATTCATACGGTGAGGATTCTGAACTGTAACTGCTTCTCATCGTAGATCATTCCTTTACAAGAAACTTATTTGTACACGAGATTGGCACATTTGGGAAATTTAAATTACGAGAAATCAAGATGTCTTTCTTGGCAACTTGTTCCTAGGAAAAAGAAACATTCTTCCTCCTGAGTAATTTCTCAGTTACTCATGAGATTATTTTGCCTACTTAACACACACAGCTTGAGTCTTTTAAGGAACAGTGGTGGAACTCTGACAAACTTCTTGCTGTAGGAAGACATCTGACTGTCCTGAAAGAGCCATCATGAGAGAATGCGAACGCTTTTGAGCAATGGCTAAGTAGGCACAACTAGGTCAGAAATCAGAACCTTGTTAAATGAAAGCAGCCTAATCTTTTAATAAAACTATAAAACGGCCTTGAGGAGAACCAAACATAAAAGGTTTTCTGCTATCCCATGAAACGCCATGCTTCATGCATTGTTACAATTGACAGGAGTGTTTGTATTTGTTTCTATAATAAATACTATTCCACAGCACATACTGATAAAAAATGTTAAAGGCTGGCACACTTTCTCCATCCCCAAAGAAGACAATTACTAAGATATGGGTATGTAGTAATAGCTGGCCAGAGCACTGCTTACGCTTCATGGCCAACATGTTCGTGGAAACTGGCCTGTTGTCAGCTCATTTAGCATTCCCACGGGCTGTTTGAAGCTCCCTTGTACTTGCATTAAGCATGTCACTTATGACTTGAAACATGACAATTTTTTACAGAATCCCATAGGGTGTTAAATGAGACATTATACCAGATCCATGTCAAAAAGTCACACTAGCTGAATGGAATCTTGCTAACCCAGATATTGTCCAGAATTTTAGATGGACAGTCAGGAACTGGGTGGTTCTTTGAAATTAAGTGACATATTACCAGTAGAAAAAACACCTTAATTTCCTCCCCACAGTATCCACTTAATCCCAGCTGGATGATTACACTCCTATGTTTTGTCTATGTGTAGGGAGGGGGAAAAAATCTCACACCTATGAATGCCAAGGAAACTACCAAATAGCTTACTGGAGCAGCATAGGTTCCCCCAAATTCTTGAACAAGTACACAAAACATTTGTGCTGCAAGGATTTCCTGCAAAGGATCTTTAAAGTATTTGCACCAGCAGGATGAGTATGTGCTAATCTTGGCACCATAAATTAATGGGTAGTGTCAAAGACACCAAACCATCCCAACCAGTATTTATCCAGTGAACAGGAAATTTGTAAACAGTTCTGATACAAGTTGCATTCACGAAAACGGTAATTTTTTTGGTCACAATCAAGGACTTCTACCACTTAGATATTCATGGTAGAAACAGGCTTAGATGTACTTTCGTTATTTAAAATATACCCTCATCAAAATATTTAAAATCAAGTGTTTAAAATACCAAAAATCACAGCTGGTACTGTTTAGTACTGCTATTCAAATCAGCACCGACACTGGTCTCATGGAAACCAGGGACAAGCCGGTCGGTGTGCACTTTAGGCCTTCAGAAGGCACAACCCACTTTGTATTCTTCGAGGCTGCCACATTTGTCCTTCAACAGGTAAAGTATGCGGATAATTTAAAAATTACAAAAAGGCAATCATAAGATTAAATATCGGTAGGTAGGCCAGCTTTCTTTAATAAAACCATTGTCATCTAATTAAATGGGTTTTTTTTGTTAGACTGTGTTCCAGTTTCTGAAAAGGGACCTTTAAAGATCCAAACTGCTATATATTAAAACCCGAACCCGCCTGCACCCTACATGTTTGAGGGAAGTAATTTAATGTGCCAACTGGCAAAACAAATGTGGAGAGGGGACATCTTAAAACCACATGCCCAATTAGTTCTTCGTTTATTCGTTTACAGTATCATCTTCCAAAAAGTAAAGGAACCAAAGTTCTAAAAATACACAAAACAGACCTTCATCTTTGCATTCCTTTCCAAATAAACACAAAAATTATATACAGCATGTTTAATATGCAATATGCAAAAGCTTTGTGTTGCTGTTAGCAACATCTCTACCCACCCACCCTCCTTATTCACAAATGTACCTTTTACTAAACACAATTACATCACTAAGCCTGTTAGTTTGAAAGGGTCAAATTTTGTTAAAACTGGAAAATCTTCGTATAGGGGCTCCACTCATTTGAGTGCAGGTTATAGACTTCCACTGTATTCAGAAATTCATTGCCATCAAAGCCTCCCACTGCATAAATGGTGTTCCCGACAGTTGCAATCCCCGCATTGCTCCTTGGTGAAGTCATGTTTCCAATCATCTTCCATTCGTTTCGAGTCGGATCATACATCTCCACACAACTGATGGCATGAGAACCATCAAAGCCACCGCCTACGAACAGTTTTCCTTAAAAAGAGACGAGATAATGTAAATCTAGGGAGATGCTAAATATACCAAGAAAAAAGCAAAATCACCCTGGACACCAGTCTC